GGCTATTAATATGGAGTAGCCCCTGGCTCGCAATCAGCATTCCAATTCATCCCAAATTTGCTCAGCAGGCTTGAGATCCGGCCTCTGAACTTGTTGAACTTGAACTTAATATGGAGTTTCTCCCCTTTGTGGCTATAATGTTCTCTACTCTTCTGGAAAGACCTTCAACAAGATTTTGGAATGTGTTTGTGGAACTCTGTGCTCAGTTGTGAGGTCAGGAACTGATGTTGGATGAGAAGACCTGGCTTACATTTGGCTTTCCAATTCATCCCAAATGTGTTTAGAAGGGTTGAGATCAGGGCTCTGAGGTTGTTGGATTTCCAATACCAAAGCTATGGCCATTAATATGGAGATGCCTCTCTTTCCCCATGGCCATTAATATGAAGTTCCTCCCCTTTGTGGCTATAGAATCCTCCCCTCTTCTGAGAAGACCTTCAACAAGATATTGGAGGGTGAATGTGAGAATCTGTGTGCACAGTTGTGAGGTCAGGTACTGATGATGGATGAGAAGATCCGGCTCACATATGGCTTTCCAAGTCATCCCAAAGGTGTTCAGGAGGGTTGTGGTTAGGGGTCTGAGGTTGTTAGACTTCCAATACCAAAACCATGGACATTAATATAGAGTTGCCCATCTCCCCCCTGGCGATAATGGAATTTCCCCCCTTTGTGGCCATAGAATCATCCTCTCTTCTGAGAAAACCTTCAACATGATTTTGGAGGATGTCTGTGGGAATTTGTGTCCGTTTGTGAGGTCAGGTATTGATGTTGGATGAGAAGACCTGGATCACCATTAGCAGTCTAATTCAAATTCAGCATTTGGTCAAGTATAGATGTTGAGAAGACCTGGCTCACAACCTAATTCACCCCAAAGTTGTCCAGTAGAGTTGAGGTCAGGGCTCTGTACAGGACACTCAAGTTCCTCCACACCAAACCGGTTGAACCATGTCTTTATGGAGCTGTGTTTGAACACAAGGTACAGTCATGGGGGAACAGAAAAAGGGTCTTCACCAAACTGTTACCATAAGGAGGAAAGAGCACAATTGTCTGCAATGTATTTGTATGATGGAGCATTACCCGGACCCTTCACTGGAGACACCTGAACCCCATCATGTGAAGGGTTGTTCATAGACTTTTAGTTATACGGATAGGTGTGATGGCCCATATACTTTTGGCCATAAAATGTATTATGGTCTTCATAAGATGTTTTTATGCTGCACTTTTTGTAACAAAATGTTTAAAAATGATAAAATATGCTAGAATACGAGACCCAATTCTTAAGCAGCTTCTAATGTTTATATATGACTTCCATCTCCAGTCCAGTTAGATATCTGGGTTGGTGGAAAAGGTTTTGCAATGAGTAGTTGATGAACATGGAACCATAATATGAAAATGATGGCCTGGTCCTTACATTATTCAGGGTAGAGGTGTACAGGAACTAACGGTAACATTCTGAACACAGGCCGTCCATCCACTTGTAGAGACTCGGCAGGTGCCATAATGACCAGTCATATCTCAGAGAGCCAACACCTTTCCATCTAGATAACGTATGGGGCAAGATAGGCTTCTTATCTCTTACGGAAATCATTAGGAAAACTGGATCCTTCCTGCCACAATATACTCTGCAAATACAATATACTTTGCAGGATTTAGGTAGGTAAATAAATTTCTACTTTTCTGTGAGGTGCTTCAATTAGGAGTTTCTCCACCCTTAAAACAGTCCTTATTCCCACCATGTTTCCTCTTGAAACTGAGACAAGACGTCCCTTAAGCTGAAGCTGACACACACGCCATTCTTCAAGCAAAAGACAAAATTTTCATGTTGGATCTGCAGTCAGAAATGTACCTACTTGTTAATTTGTATTCCCATAGTGCTTTTCTCCATGAGGGATCAAAACACTTCGGAGCTACACTACGTATATTGCCAAAAGTATTGGGACACCCCTCCAAATCATTGGATTTTGGTGTTCCAATCCCCTCCATGGACACAGGTGTATACAATCAAGCCCCTAGGCATGCAGACAGCTTCTACAAACATTGGTGAAAGAATGGGTCGCTCTCAGGAGCTCAGTGACTCCAAGCGTGGTCCCGTGATAGGTGGCCACCTGGGCAATAAGTCCATCCGTGACATTTCCTGGCTACTAAATATTCCACGCTCAACTGTTAGTGGGATTATAACAAAGTGGAAGCCACTGGGAACAACAGCCACTCAGCCACCAAGTGGTAGGCCACGTCACATGACAGGGCGGGGTCAGCGCATGCTGAAGCGCACAGTGCGCAGAAGTCACCAACTGTCTGCAGAGTCAATAGCTAAAGACCTCCAAACTTGGTGTGGCCTTCAGATGAGCCCAACAACAGTGCATAGAGAGCTTCATGGAATGGGTTTCCATGGCCGAGCAGCTGCATCCAAGCCTTCCATCACCAAGTGCAATGCAAAGCGTCGGATGCCGTGGTGTAAAGCACGCCGCCACTGGACTCTAGAGCAGAGGAGGCGTGTTCTCTGGAGTGACCAATCACGCTTCTATGTCTGGCAATCCAATGGACAGGTCTGGGTTTGGCGCGTGCCAGGAGAACGGTACTTGCCTGATTGCAGTGTGTCCAGTGTAAAGTTTGGTGGAGGGGGGATTATGGTGGGGGGTGTTTTTCAGGGGTTGGGCTTGGCCCCCTAGTTCCAGTGAAAGGAACTCTTAAGGTGACATTTTGGACAATTTCATGCTCCCAACTTTGTGGGAAGAGTTTGGGGATGGCCCCTTCCTGTTCCAACATGACTGCCCACCAGTGCACAAAAGCAAGGTCCATAAAGACATGGAGGAACCAGTTTGGGGTGGAGGAACTTGACTGTCCTGCACAGAGTCCTGACCTCAACCCCATAGAACACCTTTGGGATGAATTAGAGCGGAGACTGCGAGCCAGGCCTCCTCCCCCGACATCAGTGCCTGACCTGACAAATGTACTTCTGGAAGAATGGTCCAACTTTCCCATAGACACCCTCCTAAACCTTGTGGACGGCCTTCCCAGAAGAGTTGAAGCTGTTATAGCTGCAAAGGGCGGGGCCAACTCAATATTGAACCCTATGGACTAAGACTGGGGGACCATTAAAGGTCATGTGCATGGGAAGGGCGGGGCCAACTCAATATTGAACCCTATGGACTAAGACTGGGGGACCATTAAAGGTCATGTGCATGGGAAGGGCGGGGCCAACTCAATATTGAACCCTATGGACTAAGACTGGGAGGCCATTAAAGGTCATGTGTGTGAAAAGACAGGCTTCCCAATATAGTATATATAGCGTTCATATAGTGGGGCGCTCTTTACATCTGGAGGAAAAGGAGATTTAATCTCCAAACACGGAAAGGTTTCTTCACAGTGAGAGCTGTGAGAATGTGGAATAGACTCCCTCCAGAGTTGGGTGTGACCAGCTCAGTGGATTGCTGTAGGAAAGTCCTGGATTCTTTCTTGGATACACAGAATATAACTGGATATAACATTTATAGGGAAAGTTGATCCAGGGAATATCCAATTGCCTCTCGGGGGATCAGGAAGGAATTTTTTTCTCCTGCAGGAGCAAATTGGTTCATGCTTTGTTGGTTTTTTTTGCCTTCCTCTGGATCAACTGTGGGTGTAGGATTATAACTTTTTTTTTTTTTTGGTTTAACTGGATGAACTTTTGTCTTTTTTCAGCCAGACTAACTATGTAACTATGCATGTTTGAAACACTCAACTGAGCTATTAACCTACCTACACATTCACACCTGCAAATGGGCCAGACACCAATTAAAGGCCAGAACCCCAGCAGGAGTCCCTGTGATTAGTCCCAATTAAAGCAATGGGAGGCTTCCAGCTCCTGAAGCTAATCACAGCATGTAAACGCTTTGCGACCCTGGTAGATCCGAAACTGCCTCCTTCAAAGGGGCTGATGTGCCATGAACGTGTAACTGGACCTGATTCTTGTCTTGGACTTCTGCTTCTCTGATAGTCTCTAAGACAGCCGTTCTCAACCTGTGGGTCGCGACCCCTTTGGGGGTCGAACAACCCTTTCACAGGGGTCTCCTAAGACCATCGGAAAACACATATTTCCGATGGTCTTAGGATCCAAGACACCGCTCCTCTATCCGTCTCCAGGCGGGTCCACCCACATGCAGATACGTCCACATTTCCCTGGACCGCGATGTGTGTGCGGGATGACATGCCGCCCCTGTCATCTGGCCACATCCCCGGGATCACTCAACAGCTCCGCCTCCTCGCCAGTGATTGGCCGCCGGAACTGTAGCTCAGGAGAGGCACACTGGCAGCCAATCACCGGCGAGGAGGTGGAGCTTGGAGAGGAGGAGCTGAGCAGCAGCGCGAAGATCAAAGAAGATCGAGAGAGGGAGCGGCCGGGGAAGGAAGACAGCTGACAGGTAAGTGTCTGTAGCGTGCAGATGGTGCTGCTGCAGCCAGGTATGCAGGCTGTAGATGGGAGAGGGAGGGAGCGAGCCCAGGCTGGAGCAGGAGTCAGCAAGGTAAGTATCATTGGTGTCAGTGGGAGGAATAGTGCCCCATCATTGGTGTCACTAATACCAAAAATGGGGCACTATTCCTCCCACTGACACCAATGATGGGGCATTATTTCCTCCCCCCCCACTGACACCAACGATGGGAAACTATACCTCCCCCCACTGACACCAACAATGGGGCACTATTCCTCCTCCCACTGACACCAACGATGGGGCACTATCCCCCCCCCACTGACACCAACGATGGGGCACTATTCCTCCCCCCACTGACACCAACGATGGGGCACTATTCCTCCCCCCACAGACACCAACGATGGGGCACTATCCCCCCCCCACTGACACCAATGATGGGGCACTATCCCCCCCCACTGACACCAACGATGGGGCACTATTCCTCCCCCCACTGACACCAACGATGGGACACTATTCCTCCCCCCACTGACACCAATGATGGGGCACAATTCCCCCCCCACACTAGTATCAATGATGGGGTACTATTCCCCCCCCCCCCCCACTGACACCAATGATGCGGCACTATTCCTCCCACACTGACACCAATGATGGGGCACTATTCCTCCCACTGACACCAATGATGGGGCACTATTCCTCCCACTGACACCAATGATGGGACACTATTCCTCCCACACTGACACCAATGATGGGGCACTATTCCTCCCACTGAGACTAATGATGGGACACTATTCCTCCCACACTGACACCAATGATGGGGCACTATTCCTCCCACTGACACCAATGATGGGGCACTATTCCTCCCACTGACACCAATGATGGGGCACTATTCCTCCCACTTATACCAATGATGGGAAACTATACCTCCCCCCACTGACACCAACAATGGGGCACTATTCCTCCTCCCACTGACACCAACGATGGGGCACTATCCCCCCCCCACTGACACCAACGATGGGGCACTATTCCTCCCCCCACTGACACCAACGATGGGGCACTATTCCTCCCCCCACAGACACCAACGATGGGGCACTATCCCCCCCCCCACTGACACCAATGATGGGGCACTATCCCCCTCCACTGACACCAACGATGGGGCACTATTCCTCCCCCACTGATACCAACGATGGGGCACTATTCCTCCCCCCACTGACACCAATGATGGGGCACAATTCCCCCCCACACTAGTATCAATGATGGGGTACTATTTCCCCCCCCCCCCACTGACACCAATGATGCGGCACTATTCCTCCCACACTGACACCAATGATGGGGCACTATTCCTCCCACTGACACCAATGATGGGGCACTATTCCTCCCACACTGACACCAATGATGGGGCACTATTCCTCCCACTGATACCAATGATGGGGCACTATTCCTCCCACTGAGACCAATGATGGGACACTATTCCTCCCACACTGACACCAATGATGGGGCACTATTCCTCCCACTGACACCAATGATGGGGCACTATTTCTCCCACTTATACCAATGATGGGACACTATTCCTCCCACTTATACCAATGATGGGGCACTATTCCTCCCACTGACACCAATGATGGGGCACTATTCCTCCCACTGACACCAATGATGGGGCACTATTCCTCCCACTTATACCAATGATGGGACACTATTCCTCCCACTTATACCAATGATGGGACACTATTCCTCCCACTGACACCAATAATGGGGCACTATTCCTCCCACTGACACCAATGATGGGGCACTATTCCTCCCACTGCAAAATTACAGTTGTGAAGTAGCAACGAAAATAATTTTATGGTTGGGGGTCACCACAACATGAGGAACTGTATTAAAGGGTCACGGCATTAGGAAGGTTAAGAACCACTGCTCTAAGAGAACACTCAGTTGAAGGACTTTGGGTGGGTATTGAGGAGCACCCAGTACATATGTTCACGACTCTCAAGGTCTAGCATCCCTTCCTCAGAGCTGAAATCATGGATCTGATTGGACTCATGAGAAGCAGCTAGGAGACCTTTGTGAGGGCTTGACCCAAACTGGTCAACTTGGACACATTGCAAACTCTTACGTTGGTAATTTGTAACGTGTTCAGGTCAGTGGTGTTTCTAGGTTTTGTGCCGCCCTAAGCAACATAAAAATTGGACATCCCCCCCTTCCCGGCAGAGAGAGCCTGACACCAACCAACACCAGACCCCCCCCCCCCCCCACGGAGAGAGCCTGACAGTGACCAACAACAACCCTGCCCCATCCCCCCACGTGTGAGAGAGGGGAACTGGATGAACTTTTGTCTTTTTTCAGCCAGACTAACTATGTAACTATGCATGTTTGAAACACTCAACTGAGCTATTAACCTACCTACACATGCACACCTGCAAATGGGCCAGACACCAATTAAAGGCCAGAACCCCAGCAGGAGTCCCTGTGATTAGTCCCAATTAAAGCAATGGGAGGCTTCCAGTTCCTGAAGCTTATCACAGCATGTAAACGCTCATACAGCAATCACCTATGGACACAGAGCCAGCAACGTCCAGGGACGATCACTTACAGATGATCACTGCAGGAGCCGCCAGCTTCCCATTGCTTTCCATGGGGCTGCCTCCCATATGGCTATCCCCTGCAGGGGGGTTCTTGTATGTAATCGTTTCAAGCTCAGTCTCACATCTGAATGTGACCTTGGAGTTTGGGTAAAAAACCCCTTGAAAGTCAAACGCCATATATAGTGTCCTAGTCAGGATTCAAATGGAGGACTATAGGGCAGAAGTACTAACCACTAATACACAGCACGGCCCTATTAAGCCTCAATCAAACAGCTAACTATCCATTGCATATAATGCGGTTTTATCCATCAGTAGTGCCACCCAGGAAGGCTTCACTCAAACAGGTGTAACCATCAAAATTCCAGAACAGCCATTGCTACAGATCCCATGTGTTGATGTTTCAGGATCAGACAACTGCTGGTGTGTAGGTGTGATAGAGCTGGACTAATAGGAGTGAGGTGTTGATATTGGTGGATATAACATAAAATTCACTCCCCTGTCCAGAGGTGTAACTAGAACCTTCAGGGTGCAAGAAACCAAGAAGGACCCCCCTGACCCCATCCACTGGTCCTGGGTCCCTTCCCACTGGTCCTGAGGCTCTTTCCTCTGGTCTCGGGGCCTTTCCTTCCAAGCCCAGGGCCCTTCCCCCCAAGCCCAGTGGCCCTTTACTCCCATTGTGGGGCTCTTTATTACAGTCACACAGCAGAACCCTTTCACATATTGTGCAGCGGCTCCCCTTCCTAATGTCTTGTCCCCCCCTCACAGTGGCAATGCCAGGGCCTGGTCATAAGTGCAACCTTTGCGACCCTGGTAGTTCCGCCACTTCCTTCTTCAAAGGGGCTGATGTGCCATGAACGTGCAGTGCAACTGGACCTGATTCTTGTCTTGGACTTCTGCTTCTCTGATAGTCTCTAAGAGAACACTCAGTTGAAGGACTTTGGGGTGGGTATTGAGGAGCACCCAGTACATATGTTCACGACTCTCAAGGTCTAGAATCCCTTCCTCAGAGCTGAAATCATGGATCTGATTGGACTCATGAGAAGCAGCTAGGAGACCTTTGTGAGGGCTTGACCCAAAATGGTAACTTGGACACATTGCAAACTCCTACGTTGGTAATTTGTATTGTGTTCAGGTCAGTGGTGTTTCTAGGTTTTGTGCCGCCCTAAGCAACATAAAAATTGGACGTCCCCCCCCCGTCCTGGCAGAGAGAGCCTGACACCCACCAACACCAGACCCCCCCCCCCCCACGGAGAGAGCCTGACAGTGACCAACAACAACCCTGCCCCATCCCCCCATGTGAGAGAGCCCGGTGACAGAAAGAAAGACATTCACCTTCACAGCTCTGGCCATCAAGCAGCTCGCAGCCTCTCTCGGATCCCATCTGGTCCCCATGCCCTTCTTCAGGGGTGCAGTGCTGCCCCCCTAAAAAATGCAAATGCCTTGTTTGCCTTGTGGTAAATACACCCCTGGTCCGGGTTTGACAGATTGGATCAAGCCCTCACATAGGTCTCCTAGCTGTTTCTCATGAGTTCGGTCAGATCCATGGTTTAAGCCCTGAGGAAGGAGGAGACATTTCCCTCAAAATGTGCTTCATCTGGTGATGTTCAATAAAGATTTCAATTTAATTTTTGAGTGTCATGAACTTTTGTACTCCTCAACACCCACCCCAAAGTCAGATAAGGGGACAAAAACTCTTTACTGTGAATAATTGGCTCCCAGCTGAGACAATCAAGGGGTAGAGAGTTTTAAAGTTCACTGCAGACCTTTCAGGGAGCACTTGTACTTGTTTCAATAGACAATGGGGGTAGAACCAAGAGTAACTTGCAGTTAGGTGGAGGATCCCTGTAGAGGTCTCTGGAGACCCGTGTTATGCAGGCCATAGACGGGTCAAAAATCGTTCATTTAAAAAAAAAAAAAATGAATAATTGGTCGTTCAATCGGCCGATGTTACCACCAACGGTAAAAAAATTGGCCAATTTTTGTCCCACCTACGGCCGGTATTTACCCCCATAACACTGTTCAACAGGTAAAAAGTTTTGGGCATAAAATTAGCTAATCTTACATAATTTTGGGGTGCTGAAAACGAAAATGACCCTAAAAAATGTTGATTGGCTCTAGTTTCCATGATATATTCACCCATCTAATGACGTAAGCCATTCAAAATTATGATGCAACTTCAGCTGCATATTGCGCAATTGATACTGGTGACCAATAGAAAATGTCATGTATACTGAGATGATGCAATATTAGCCTTTAATTGCATCACTTCACTGCATAAAAGCTGCAGTATCTGTAGCTGATTGGAGTTCGTCTTTACATTTCGTTTTATGCTTATATAGGCTACTCAGTAATGCCTCGAACTTGTGTGAATAAAGCAGATCATTTCTGCTATATCTGCGGTGAAATAACTTTTATCTCACAAAAAAGGAGGATAACAGGAATGATTAAGAAAGCCTACAACTTGTATTTTGGCTGCAAGATAGGAGACCAGGACAAGAGCTGGGCACCACATATATGCTGCAATTCTTGTGGGACGGCACTGGAGCAATGGTTGAATGGAAAAAAGGCATCTATGCCTTTCGCTGTGCCAATGATTTGGAGAGAGCCAACAGATCATGTTAGTAATTGTTACTTTTGTATGGTGCCTCCAGTAAAAGGGCTAAATAAGAAGAAAACGTTATCTGTGCACTATCCAAATATTCCATCGGCAATACGTCCAGTTCCTCATGGAGAGGGGCTACCAATTCCTAAAGCACCAGAATCCTTCGTGGTTGAGTCAAGTGAGGAAGAACCTGAAGCGTGTAGTCACGTGCAGTTGTAAGAGATAGCCCCTTTCCTCGAATACAAGAGAAAAGCCAAGAGAAGCAAAACCGACACAAACTGAAGACAAAACTAGTGAGAATCCTAAGTATTAAAATGATTCAACTTAGCTTATGGCTATAATTTTTCTTGGTAATCCTATGCAATATATTCTGCCATTTAGGCTTTGTTATGTAGTCATATCACTTGCTTTATATTTGTGGAAAGACATCTATCTATAGAATTATTGTGCATTATGTAGTCATTACGCCTATAGTAGAAAACTTTCCGTTTACAGAAAAACTAGAGCCAATTGACAAATTTCATTGTTATATTTGAACTCAGAATGTGAAATTCATTAAGAAATGGATCCTTTTGTTTCCAAAACTGGCAAATAATAAAAATTTGTTGAACAGTGGAATTACTTCTGTCCCTTGCAGAGACAGGGGAGCAATACATAAGAAGAATAAAAGAAGAAGAAGAATTCCAGTCCGCTATTATATTCTATATGAAAATTATTGCGGTTGCAACAATGTATCCATTTGTATCCATTTCGGATACAGATGTTTTTATTCGGATACAAATAGATACATTGTTGCAACCGCAAGACTTTTCATATAAAATATAATAGCGGACTGGAATTCTTATTCTTTTTCTTCTTCTTCTTTTTCTTTTTCTTCTTCTTCTTCTTATTTTCTTCTTATTATTATTATTATTTTCTTTTATTATTATTTTTCTTCTTCTTTTTCTTCTTCTTGCAGGTCACAGCTCATGCACAGATTTTTTATCGGTAAAATGATCGGCCGATTTGCCCATCATTGCCGGGAAAATCGGGCGATCATCAAAATCGGCCGCGAATTTTCCAACGTGCCTGATAAAAAAAATGTGCAAAAAGCCCGAAAAAAAACGGCCGACCAATTAACCCACTAACGGTGTGAAAATCGGCTGATTTTTTGACCCGTTTATGGCCGGCATTATTATTCCTTCTCATGGCGGACACATATGACCTGGTTGTAGACATGATCTTGAGTGGCATCTGTGTTTGGTTGGTTTGTGTAGTTGCAGTAATTGTGTTGTTTTATATTA